TCCAATAAGAAAAGTAAAAAATAATGCCATTTGGCGGTCAAAAATGAACATTAGACATATGTATATCGTAATATCAGATTATTTATAATGATTATAAAAATGAGTACAAATTTTGTGTACATTTATATGGGTTTCCGTACTAATGTTTACACGTTACACGACTACGCGGTGCTTGCGCACTTTAATATTTCGACTCCAAACCAGCTATGCAGCGCGATTGCTTAGAAAAAAAAATCAAAATTTAAAAAAAAAAATCTTTTTTTTCAAAAATTTCAAAACTTCTCAAAATCTAATTTTTTCTAAGTTTTGCAAAGTTATTTTTTAAAAATTAGTTTTCGGTACGGAAAGTTCCAGCAATTTGCCTTAAGGCACAATGCCATGCACCACTAGTTTAACATTAAATAGGTTTCCAAAGAAAACAAGAAAGTTTACCTGAGGTCTAGACATTGCAAACTTCAAAGTGTTCCGCTGTTTCGCGAAGAATTTCTGAAACTCGTCCGCGGCCTTTTTCGTTTATATCGGCTTCCGTCAATGCTTGTAGAACGCTCAGGTCTCCACCTCGGCTGCAAGCTAATATGATAACAAATTAAATTGATTAATTAATAATTTAATATTTAGGATAAATAAAGTAGAATCGGCGTTTGTATTTGACGAGATCTGAGCTTTTGTGCATTGAGGCCTCTATAACTATCCTACATGAGATGGGGACTGACTAAGCTCAAAGTGGCGGATACAGCTACTACGCACGTGATAAAGGTACCTTTTTCGCCTTTTTCAAATCAATTTGACGACGACTGCCTACATGAGATGGGGACTGACTAAACTCAAAGTGGCGGACACAGCTACTACGCACGTGATAAAGGTACCTTTTTCGTTTTTTTTTTAAATCAATTTGACGACGACTGCCGCTTTGAAAATATGAAGAAAGCACTTATAGGCAGCTGATAATAAAAGTAGTTTCATTGTTATGATTAATAAATACAGCTTCATCATAATAAACCATTAGTTTTATTAATCAATTATCCAAAATTACGCCAAAGTTCCAAATATCTCCCAAAAATCATCTTCAAACTTTGTTATTAATCAATTAAAAATTATAATAATAATTGCACAATATACTACCTAAATCTACGGGGTCTTTCACTCCAGAATATGAATTTGGTGGGCAGGCGAATACAGCTACGACGTGCTCCAAATATTCTGCTTCAGGCGAAGTATCTACTAGTCTTTGCGGATATATAGTGGTATTTGTTATTCCTAAATCGCTGAAATATTTATCGTATTCTTGCTTTCTGAAAATCAATAGTTCAATAATTGATACGTATAAACTAGTGGTGCATGGCATCGTGGCTTAAGACAAATTGCTGGAACTTCATCTATCATAACTTAAAAGCCGTTAAATTTTGATGAAATAGACTTCGTTTTTTTTAATTTATATTAAAAATCGGCTTTCTTAAAAATTTTGAAACTTGCAATTTTTGAACAAATTACTTCTTGAAAATTTTGATATATTTTGAACTTTTTGTTTTTTAGAAATGTTGAGAATTTTTTTGAAACTACATAGAGCGTAACTTAGTCAACTTTTATATTAAAAAATGTATCCTTTCACGATCTAGTTGTAACAAAATTGAAATTTAACAAAAAAGATAATTAGTTTATTTAGTTTTTGCATTTTATCTTAATTCAAAATACTTTAAGGGGAACAACTAGTGTAACCGCCTAAAAAAAGATGATTTTTGGGAATTTATAATAAAAAATTACTTCATCAATCATTTAAAAATTTTAGAAATATATTTATACATGCTTTAAAATACATAGTAAAATTTTTGAAGAAAAAATTATTAAATATTTTTTAAGTTATCGTCGATCTCCAACGGCGCGACAAAAAAATGGGCCTTAACTGCTGCAGTAATTCCGGCCTCTACGTGGATGAAATAAAAAAAATAATTCTCGTTAAACTAGATAATTTGTCTATAAAATGAACTACGATATAAAAAATAAATCAAAAATTGACAAAATGGCGGCGTTTTTTTTTAAAAAAAAGGCGAATTTTACCCAAAATTTTGGTCGTTTTTCGACTGCCCAATTTCGATTTTTGATCCGATCACATAATCGATAGTTCATTTTACGGAGAACTATATACAAAACAGGTGAAAAAAAATTGATAGTGATCGGATCATTCGTTTTTGAGTAATCACTGCAGCAAATTCGGAAAATGCTGTTTCGAGAAAAACGCGTTTAAGATAAAATGATCGTTGTACTATATACTATATTTATACTTTTTAAATGGCTGTAACTCAAAGACTATTTGAGATATCGATTTGAAATTTTAATATGTTATTTTTAAAGGTGTAATCTACCGAAATATGAAAAAAAAACAAAAATCGATTTTTTCAAAATTTCACACTAGTTGTGCTCCTAAATATTCTTATAAAAATTATATCGTAAATGTATGCACAATTATTATTTTGTTGAATTTATCTGTGAAAAATAAATGCTTTATGCTGTTTCTACATTTTATAAATATTATCAAATAAAGTCAATTACTTATCCCCAGCTCCAAATGCAAGCAGCCTCAGCACTCTGTTATTACTGTGAATGATATTAGCTAAATAAGCAGTTGTCCTAGGTGAATTCACATGAGATTGTAAAACACATCCACCTAATTCGTGATGTTCTAATATTAAGCTGAATATCTGAAAATGAAAAGTTTGAGTTGATTTTATATTTAGTAATAATTTATAATATTGTAAGTAATTTTATAGTACGAGAGCAATCATACGACTTTAACTATAAAAATAGAGATCTAAAATTATCTATCTTAATGACTCACCACTGGTCCAATACAAAATGCTCTATCCTGCAAGATGAGATGATGCTTCTTCACCAACCAAGACTGCGCAACAGCTTGTCTTTGCTTAAATATTAAATTTTACATATTAAAATAATTAGCAAACATGAAGACTGTAATTATTTATCGATTTATGCACCTTTGGTCGGCATACCATGAATTTAGGGCATAAAGTATCAAATTTATACTGATCTACATTCAATCCACGATCATGTCCGGTGCATTCGCTAAGTCCTAATTTGCATAAGCATTCAGTAACATCGGATTTGGATCTAAAAATAATTTTTGGTTATATTACTTACAAGCTACTTTGAAAGAGATCAGTTAAAAACCACAAAATTATTATTGTGTAAAGATTGGTCGTAATTAACAGAATTAGAGATAGCTTTGATTTGCAATTTAAAGCCAGATTTGCAAGATTTGTGCAAAAGCAAGATAAACCGCATGTTCCTACTTACTAGCCAGATTTATTTTTGCTTCAGTCTGAAAATTTGAAAATAAATTAGTTATTGTAGTCCTTAGTGTTGCATGGAAATTGCTCGACCAACTTTTATTGTTTAAGAGACGAAAATCCTAAAAATCCGAAATTTGGCAATGTTGGAAATTTATCGAATTTAAAAATTGGATAGACCTCAATTCTTATCAATCTTGGATTGGATCAAATCCAAAAAAATGCTTGGACCTAAAGTTATTTTCTATTAGTATATCCATAGTATCTTTTTTCAAATAATTATGAATAATATATTCAAGTAATGCACTTGAATAAAAGCATAACAAATAGGACATTTAAAATCGATTTAAACATAAAACGAGTTAATCTAGGTGTACGTTATTTGTATATTACTTCTGAACAAACTTGTTTCATATTCATGTCAATTAATCCAATAGTTTAATATAGATAAAAGATATAAAAAATTATTACAGTTATTCGCGCCCAAACTATTATTTATACGCAATTGTAATTTTAAAGAGCATTAAGCCAATATTATTGAATTTTGTACAATTTTATATACTACATTTATATGACATAAATTGAATAAACGATGTAAGAGGGATATATACGAAAAAAATAGTAGTTATCTATAAATTGCTGCAAATATTACAATTAGGTAGATATATACAAAAACAAAATTGGTTTTCAAATAATTTTTTTAAAGGTCTAACCGGTTTCAAATTTTGTAAGTAAGAACTATTGGATCAAATAATTCAAATATAAAAATAACAGAAAATTTCGAGAAAATTAGTGAAACGAACGCCGGCTATTGATTTGTTTAAAGAGGTACATTTGTAATTATCAATTTTTGTTAACTGTTATTCAAATAACATCTAACAAAATGTTTTCATACATTGAAAACCAGTATTTACTACTAAAAAAACGGTTTTCAAATTTCTTAATTTTCTCCTAAAACCTGTTTCTAAAAAGTGTCAAACCCTAATCAGAATTTGTGAAGTTTTTTGATACATGTCGGTAGAATATAACTGTAAGTTGAATTAATACATATTACTACGTATATTATTCTGCATAATTTAATTTTGTATATTTGTAATTTTATTTTTATCCTTTTTAGCATTTTTATGTGGGGTGCACATCGCGCCTTAAGACAAATTGCTGGAACTTCTCGTACTGTACATAAAATACACAAAATGTGTACACAATACGCATTATTAAAATCTCTATAAAATATTGATAATTTGATGTATCATACATATGTCCAATAAACATTTTTGACCGCCAATTTTTTATAATTATTTATATTTATATTTTTATTAATAATTATTTTATAATTATTTTTATTAATAATTATTTTATATTTTTATTAATAATTATTTTATTGAAAGTCCATAAACGCTGGGCCTGCCGTCCCAAAAATTTAATCAGTTGTTCATCTTGTCAATACAAGTAAAATGTTTGAATTATTAAAATCGGACGCTCCGTTCTCTTAAAAGCTGAGTTACCGTTATTGGCACTTTTTGCCCGTATCTTCGAAACGGTTAGACCTGCCTTCCGAAATCGTCGACGAAAATTTGTATCCGCACACTCACACGTTTGAAGCATTTTTTATTACAAGATTTAGTTTAAAGCGCCTCAATGCAATGTTCCAAATAAAAACATTTGATAATAGATTTTTTTATTTGTTAAAAATACTGTCCTTACTTTGATTTAAAACAGTTAACCCAGCATGTGACTTTATCGGTGTTGTTGATTGCAGAGGTGACTCGTTCGTCTCGTAGATGTGGCGGCAAAAGCTGAGACAAATGCAGAGAGTTGTTTTTAATACGAATTCGTGAAGTTTCGGCGGCCAATTTTATCCTTTCTGTCCAAAGCGCTTCATCTATGGCTAAAATATAATCTACAATTGTCATATAAATTCACAAAAAACAGCATAGCTACAAAATAAATATTTTAAATTTCGCTAAAAGAGAGTAAACCTGGTGTCTAAACATATCAAGCCTTCTTAATACACCTCACTGCTAACCTGATGTTGCTTACACTAAACTGTGCTAAACTTTTTTATTCGTTTAATACAAAATTTAACCATGTTAGGTGAAAATACATACTAAAATAGGATGATAAAGACGATTCTTGTTTGAAATAATTAAAGTACAAAATTTCAATTTGGGCATTTTATTTTAGTAAAAACGCTACTCTAATCGGCATGTGGTTATTGACAACACCTTCACGCAACATGTGCGTGCGCAGTAGTGAATATGTTAATTGCATCGGAGAGTCGCATATTTTTCGCAATTATAATAAACGTTCCCGGTCCTCCGAGGAACCGTCCAACCCTTTCGCTGCGAGCGTCGTCTATAGACGACATCCAATGTATCAACCCTTGTTTCAAATTGAGTCAAATCTGAGTTCAATTATTGAGAATAATAATTTGTTATTGTAATTTTTGTTTCTGTAGATGTGTATTTTTATAATTTTTGAAATACATTTTCATAGATAACGATTGGAAATTTTTAAAATATGTTGTTGTACTTGGTCTATTCGTTAAACCAGAGATTATTTTTGCTATTCTAGATATTATTAATAATTCGGGTATCAAGAATCGACTGAAGTGAGAATCAAAAAGTACAAGCCTTTACACATTATAGAATACATAAGAAGGAAATTGTTTTGTCTGCCTACTAAAGTGAGAGTTTTCTTATATTCCTGAATAGTTAAACTTGTTAAATTGATTTTCAAGTCGGAAATCGAATAGGGCACATAAAGTGAGAGTGTCTGTTTCTTATTTGAATCAGATTTTTTTAATGTTTATTATACTCTTCATTGCTATTCAATTATAATATGAAGAGTACTTCTTTCTAGCACTATGTCGATTTAATATGTATGTGAAAGTTCATTGATTGATTGATTCATTGATTCAATACTTATGGTTGCTATTTAATTTCTTAACATTTGTTTGTTTATTGTAAAATTGTATTTGACTCTACTAAGATATTTATAAAGACAATAACAAGAAAACAGAAATGAGAAACAGACACACTACAAAAATTTTACTTAAAATATAAGAAAAATAAAAAATCTAAATGAAAAAATATTATTAAAATTATAAAATAATTAAATCTATTATAACAATAATATAATACAATCTATTATAATTATTCTAACTTAAAATGTATCGAAAACTTACGTAATATCCCTGCATCTTCGTAAAGTTTTCTGCGATAATTTGTGATTTCCGCATTTGGTTTTGAGAATTGCCTATGATAGAGATCAAAGAGGCAGAGCCAAACTCTTACACGATCTTTCTCTAACTATAAATAAATAAATTAACTAGAATAAGCATATTCAATCAATGAAAAAAACATATATGTTAAAACTTAAAAATATTTAAATATAAGTTTGAAAAATTGAATATTGGATAAAATAAATATTTGTTATGAGTTTTGCTTTTTAACTCAATTTAAATACGAGTTTGAAAAATTCAGAAAATTTCATATCGCAAAAACTTACTTCATGATGTCTCGTAAAAAATCGAACGTTCATTAGAGTTTCATTCATCACATTTTTATCTGAAAATAAGAAGGATTGAATTACCTTTTTTGTCAATATCTTATATATAAAATTCTTCTGTAACAATGTAAGTTTCATTAATACTCCTAAACTATAATTCGGATTTTCATGAATCTTCCTGAAGTTTGTTCGGGAAATTTTCTAGAATGTTTTGATTCACAGAAATATAGTTAGATTGTAGAAATAAATGGAAAAAATACAAAAACCCGCTTATCATTGTTTGACCTTTAAAATATTTAAGGCATGGTTTGACATTAAAAACAAATGACAACTGTCATTTGCCAAACATTTCTATTCACTTATAGGCTAAGGCAATATTAAAATATAATAAATTCATGATTATAAATAAGGAAAATGTAATGTCTACATTATTATTGCCGAAAAGCAGCTGAGATGTGCCAAAAATTAAATTAATATAAGATGCAAATAATATAACATGCGTTTGACAGTCTGCGCATGCGTCTGACGCGCACGGCGAATCGTGTTCTCAACTGCGCGTTGTTTGCTTTTGCTTGCAAAAATTTTGTTTGCGCACTTTGCTAACAGATTCGCCGTACGAATTCGTGCAAAGGAAACGAGCCATAAGTTATTGCGCTCAAAAATATTCAATTTGCAGTTGTTTTGCCTTACTATACTAAGTCACAATACAAAAAAATTATTTAGAAGTTTCATTGAGTCAAAAATTAAAAATGTTTGTCATTGGGTACGGAATATTTGCTCAATGAAGCGCTTTCGGTCTGCACTTTTTTTTACTGTTTTCCATTTCGTTTGGAATTTTGGAACTAGGTTTATCTTACTCTTCAGAAGTGAAAACAATTTAGACTCCTTTACCACTTCTCGGGTGGATGACATTTCTTTTCAGTGGTGTAATTTTACTTTTTTCAAAATAACGTTGGGTATCGATAAAAGAACTAATTATAAGAGAATAATGTTTAATAATGTTTTTCAAAAAAGCAAATGCTTTTCAAGTTACTGGCTACTGAAAATGTGTTTCTTTTTCGCGTTTTTCATCGCTTTTTGCTAATATCTTCAAAAATATACATTTTAACGAAAATCATGTATTGAACAAAATTATATCAATAAACATTTTAATAAATCGCTATTTCACAGTGTTCTAGGAACAATATTAAGTTAATTATGAAAATGGGTTTTTATAGTTCTCATAATAAGCTTCAAAAGAAGTACTTCTGCGTGTAAATTGAGTGAGCTATCATGCAATTAAAAGACGCATACAATGTTTTTTTTTTTTCATTTAAATCAAATAGTTTATGAGTGCCATTACCACCAAAATTAAAACTAATCGTTTTCCATCTAGAATTAACTTGGTTTGAGAGATCTTGATGGATTCTAGAAAATACCATAACATTAGTACAATTGATTTTAAAAAAACTCATGATTTTATAAAGAAATCCATTTAATAAAACAACCAATTTCTCATTATAATATCTCTGAAAAAATACGTATAAAAGTATATATATGAAAATTCAAGATATTTTTCAGACTAATTATTGGTTTTTATCATTTTTTTGTTACACAAATATTGATAGAGTTCTAATTGTTTAAAGAGTGCGCGGCTGTCCAAGCGGAGTGTCTTTCGAGCCCTTTAACCCTTCGCCGTTTCAAAATAAGAGAAGTTACGGTAAAATTTATGATAAAGAAAGTTGTAGCTCATTTAATCACCTTTAAAATAGTATATTACAAGTTATGATAAAATCAGAATTAAAAGAGTTATAATCCAATTAATGCGGCGGGTGGTGACGAATTTGCAAATTGTTTTTACTTCTGAACTTTAGATTAAGATTAGCTGGGCATACGCTTTTTTCCTCTTCATTTGCTGCAATAATTTTGTTGATTGTAGGTTGAATAGAGTACATGTGAACAAAATTTGACAAATTAATTCACTTCAAATATGAACGTAAGTAATAATGTATATTGAATTATTAGTGTGAAAATACAATTTAGATATTAAAATACTAAAAACCAGTTAAAATATGGTACAAAATTATAAAAATTGTAGGCAACATTATTGAAGCAGAAAGGGTAGAAAAATCCAAATCCTTTCTGAATTTGTTATACTTTTTGAAAGGTTTCAATTTTCAACACGTGTATCTATGCTATGACAATAAATACATGGTGATAAATTTGGAAAATAATGTTTTAGTCGTGAATAAACAAAAAATCATTCATTTAAACATCCACATCTACAGGTATGTCTGAAAATATTGTATAACCCTTAAATTCAATAAAATAAATTGAACTATTGGAAATAAATTTGTTCTATAAATCGCAGTGTATAATTTTTAATATATAATTTTATTGAATATATTTTAATATTTGTTAAATGGATAATTAAAATGTTAACTGGGGCAATTGAGAATAATCATTTTATTTGAAACTGTACTACATTTAACTCACTCATATATTGGTGTAAATAGTATCTCGAAAAATAATAATGATTATTTTTAACTGAACGGTATAAATATTAGTATAGGATATTAAAAAACGTAGAGGTGAGTACAGGACAACGTCTGTCGGGTCATCTAGTATATATATATATATATATATATATATATATATATATATACTGTGTGTATATTACATGTAGATATAAATATACTAGTATATCATATTGTATCATTAGCTCATATAAATTTTAAGTTAGTGCATGTTTGAAGGTTACCTAAATTCTCATAAATACTATTTCGTGCAGGATTCTTAAAAGTTAAACTATAATTTTAAATATTAGGAAGACTAAATTGCAATAAATTAGCATGAATAATACATATTTTTCACGTGACGAATATAATCTATTTAAATACAGAATTAGTGATGTATTGCATTGTTAAATAAAGAGCGTCCATTAATCAGGTGATCGACTTTTTAAGAATTTTTAGACCCTCCTCCCTCTTGGTGATACGTGGTGATATTCAAAATTAGCCCCCCCTCCCTTCCCCACAAACATCACGTGTATTTTTAGTTACGTGAAAGAATTATAAAATATTTGAATTTTTGTGAATATGTTTCGATTTTTTTTTTTTTTTAAAATATGTAAAAAATAAATACACGTTATATTATCCTGTACCCATCCCTCCACGTGATATTTTGTGATTTTTTGTCAAACTCTCCCTCACCCTAAAAAACTCACGTGATGAATGGGTGCCCCCTTAATACAAATTATAGAAAATTTCAAATTTCTGAATAACAGCATGGGAGATTGGATACGGTTGTGCCACTTTTTTCGATAAGCAATAATTTTGTTGATTTACCAGTTAGCTGGAAGAAAAGCGAATTAAATGGTAATTTGGACTTTTGTCCATGTCAAAATACTGAAATATATATAGACAGTATACTGTCCTTAAATACGATGGATTAGTCATAAAATCAAATCATGCAAGAAAGACCAAGTGTCACAACCGTCCACATCCCTAAAACAGTTGTGACAGGCATGAACATAGATAAAAAATGTAACACAACATAGTAATTTAGAGAATCAGAAACGTTATGAATATAAAATATCAAAATATATAACAAAGTCACAAGAAATATTTGTGATTTTTTTTCTTGTATTGAATCTTCTTTTCCCTTTCTCTTTCGTGTTTTGTCTTATTTAAGTTAGATTTTTCTTCATCTGTTTAAATATAATAATAGTTTAAATAATGTCTGAAATACATGTTACAACCGTACTCACAAAAGTTGTCACAACCGTACCAAACGTACACTTTTAGAAATAAATCAACATTATATAACTGTGCTAAATTATTTAACAAACTAATTGCTGATAATTAACCACTAATGTTCAACTTAGAGCAAATTAACAGAGGGTGCTATATCGGTTAGTTATCCTTTACACGCTATCAAATTAAATGTGTTTTAATCTGTAATGAGTGTAATTTAAATGTGATTTATCTGTACACAAATAACTGTTATCCAAAAGAGATCGAACATAAAAAATTATTATTGAATCTTGAATTGAAAAGCAATACGGTCTACAAATCGTGTTGATGTAGAGTGCTGACAATGCAATAATGGAAACACGTTGGAACAAACATTATTCCTTTGGACCCTATCTCAAAATTTGTATACCTTAGCTGTTATGAAAACTATCACTACCGTGCACAGCTCACATAATGTAAAAAAACAACAAGTTCAGAATTCATAATTATCCATAAAAATTTGAAACAAAAAAGTCAAAAAAATAAAATTTGATAAATTATTAACTAAATAAATTAATATATTCTAGATGTTTACCAAAAACTAATCAGCACGATTTCCAGCTGATTTCTTAAAAACAGTTTTTTTTTATTAAATCGTTTTAAGATTTTGGCTAAAACGTTAATAAAGAAACTTGCACTTTTCTGCTAATGCCTAAAAAAACGACTCGAACAATTGTCGTGAACGGTGAAGGTGCGCCTCACCTAGCGAACGAGCACAAACGAACACGAACAAGCAAGTGAGGAGCTACAACGAACACAAGCAACATAGCGAGCAATATTCAGGGGCGTCCTCAACTAGCGAACGAGCACGAAGAAGCAAGAACTACATAATACCAGAACGAACGCCAACGAGCATAGTGACGAACACAAGCAAACATAAGCAAGCAATGTTCCGCAACTTGTGGGAACATCAAAATTGTTCGTTCATGTTGGTACTCGTATTTGCAGTGGTGCGTCACAAGGAATGTAAACGAACATTTTTATTGTGATATTCCCTTGTTATATGATGTGATTATTGTATGCGGTTACTGGGTTTGATAGTTTTAAATAATATGGAATGGTCGAATGATGTAGCTTTTGCATTCATAAATGAATTAGAGAGGTTTAAACCAAACAAAGAAGATTCAAGCCCTCACAATGTTCAAGTTCGTTCGGAATGATTCGCCTTCGTTTTTGATCATGTTCATTCTTTTCGTATTTTCTTATTCGTCATGTTCGTCCGTGCTCGATCGTTATCGTTAGGTGAGGACGCACCTCTATGTGTTACATCAAATGGCATTTAAAAT